AAAAAAAAACAACCAACCAACCAATACAAACATGCATTATTGTGCAACAAACCAGATAAATATCAAATTAAAAGCTTTGCAATAATGCGGAATAAAATCCTATGTAAAATGTTTATTTTACTATCAGAATGTAATAATTGCTATAGTTATTTAAAAACAATGACATAAAATAAAGTTAGTTTACCTCAAAAACATCTGGTTGACAATAATCTTTGTCGTGATAAATACTTTTTTCAATATCGCACGATGGCAGAATAAAATATGAGTTGACCTCAATACGCTCTATATTTCATACAAAAGTGATCTCACAAAAACCAACTTACACACTATTTACTGACGTGGAATATAACGAAACTAACAACATAATATTAAAATATAGAAAAAATAATAGTAATAATAATATATTTGAAAAATTTTGAATTTAGAAGACGAGCCACTTGTTAGTACGCGCGCGTGTGAGTGTGTGTGTGTGTGTGTGTGTGTATTTTTTTCAGCGGTTGATGCGAGTATAGTTTTTAATGCATTCGCCTCTCGTTGGAGATGATCGTCAAGCTGCAACCAAATTAATTTTCCAATATAAAAGCGATTACATTCTTCTATTCGTGGTGGCAGTTGTCTGGATATTATTATTATTTTGGTATTATTATCATGAATTCCTTTCATAATGAATAATGTATGTCTGAACACGTGGAGGTAGCTACGACAATAATAACGCTTGCTTAAAGTTTTAATTATGCTGAACCCCTTGTCATCATATTGTATTAATAATATATAAACATTAGGAAGGTCATTACTCATTATCAGGGCTTAAAACCGTTATCAATAAAGTCGGTAATCGGCCTCGGTAACCGGTTATCGTTTAATTGTGATATTTTGGTAACCGGTAACCGTTTCCATAAAGATATTTCAAACACTATAATAACCGTTAATCGTTTAAAAACCGTTGATAARRTTTTTTRGTAATCGGTTACCGGTTAAAACCGGTTTTAAAAAATCATTTTTTTCAGTTTTTTATCATATTTTTAAAACAGTTTATTTAGGGCATTCGTGGGTTGATAACA